TTCTTGATAATAATAAATAATAAATAATAAATAATAAATAATAAATAATAATGATGATGATAATGATGATAATGATAATTAGAAACCTGCATTTAAAATTGTTGCAGAATCATCTACAAAACCAACCACTAAATCAAACAATAAAACTTTTATAGAAACTACTACTTCTACTATTGCCACTCCATCAACAGTCGCTGCTTCATATAGTGCTGCCACTTCCACTGTTAAGTCTGACAATGCTGAAGCAAATAGGCCAAAAAGAATGATCAAATTTCCCAACAAAGAAATTCCTCAGGACACACAAACTCCTCGTCGCAAAAAAACAAAGAAAAATGTTGAACTTAAATTCTGTCGCTCAGTATATCTGGAGTTAAGAAAGAAACAACACTATCCATACGCTTATCCTTTCTACGAACGAGTCGACGCAGAAAAACTAGGCGTTCCTGAATACTATACCATCATAAAAAATCCAATGGACCTCTCTAAAATCAATAGCAAGCTGGAAAATGAAGAATATAGATCAGCTGAAGAGTTTGAGGCTGACATACGTTTAATGTTTGACAACTGTTACAAATTCAATGCTCCTGGTACTGATGTTTATAACATGGGTAAACAACTAGAAAAGGTTTTTGATAAAAAATGGGCAGAGAGACCAATTCCACAGCTTTCTCCAACTGTTCGGGAGGGAATCAAGGAAGAAGAAGAATCTGCCTCAGACAAAGAAAGCGAACAAGGTATTATTTACATCATAAAAAATAATTATTGATGTTATACAAATAACTAAATAATATATTAATAAGAATCTTTTTTCATTTCTATTCAGCTAAACATTTGAAAGCTTTGCAAAAACATCTTGCTGCTTTATCATCCCAACTGAATCAATATAGAAAATCAGGAAAAACTAAAAACAAAAAACCTACTAAAAAGCTTACTAAAAAACCCACTAAATCCAAATCCAAGTCTGATGCTGATGCATTGACTGATGCAATGCCAAAAGCAAAACGTCGACGAATTTCAAAAGCTGAGATTGAGACCATTGTTAAAGAAGATGATGATAAGGAACTTACTGCCGATCAAAAGGCCCTTCTTTCTAAAAGGATTGAATATCTTCCTCAAGAACTCATGGTTACGCTCATTAGTATGATACAACAGAGTGGAGCAACGTTGATGCCTGAAGAAGGTGGTTACGAGTTAGAAATTGAGTCTATTGACACTAAAACTGCTAAAAAAATTTATAATTTTGTAATGGCAAATACTTCCGAACCAAATGGTCGTAAAAAACGAAAAATAATCATGTGTGTGAGATTTAATAGGACAATCATAAATTTTAAATAAGGTAATTGAAATAGATGTACA